TGTTGGGTATATGGATACTCCAACTGGTTTGGGTTGAATAAATATGTAAACCTAGGATTAAGTGCTATGTAGCTTTAAGCACAAGAAACTGCAATGTCATTGTGGGTGCGGTTGCAGGCAGCCATAAAGGTAGGAGGGGAAACTAATAGCCCCGGCTTCTGGATGCAACTGTCTGAGTCCGGCTTCTGGATGCAACTGTATGAGTCCGGCTTCTGGATGCACCTGGTTACTGTTCCTAGTCTGCTGCCTACTGTGTTGGTCTATCTGCTTACCTTGGAGGCTACTGTGCCAGATACCATTTCACCTGAACACAAGGACTGTTTGCCTAGTGAGCTGAGGATTCAGCATTGTCTTGGTGAGAAAGGTATCATAGAGAGAAGATTACAAGCAGATAAGGACATTGTATTTACTGTAAATGGACTTGATAACTGGATTGATAATACTGGATAATGATATATGGACTGAATGACTATTCTTAATCTCTGTATGAATTAAATACCTATTTAAACCACAAACAGTGTATTTGTCTCAAGTGTGTGTATACTCTAGGGCCCAGCCTCACTCTCATTTGGCTGCCTGGCTTGACTGCTGCTGTGCACTCAGCTAAGGGGTTCATCCCCAAACACTAACAGTTATGCCACATTGTACCTTTGGAGAACCACTTTTAGAGGGAGTGAAAATTCATGAGGTTGCTGTCACCTATTTTGACTTTATCTCCTCTGTGCATGCCCCTTTTCCCTTATGATCAAGATCAACCAATGGAACACCTTGCCCTCGGAAGCTGTGGGAGCACCATCACTTGAGACTTTTCAAGAAGAGATTGGACTGCCATCTGTCAGAAATGGTGTAGGGTCTCCCGCTTGGGCGGGGGGTTGGCCTAGATGACCTATAAGGTCCTTACCAACTCTGATTATCTGTTATCCCAGCAGAACAGTGAGGGGTGGTTCAACATTGGCTTCTTAGCCACAATCCTGCAAATAATTGCCCTGTTTAATCTAAGGCCAATGGCTACAAAGGCAGGATTTTTGAAAAGCTTTCATTAAAAACACCTTTCTATTCTATGAATCCCTACCTCTGTGCTTTAAAAAAATGATAATTTTCTTCATGAGTTTTCATGAAGTCATATCCAATTTTTACTCAATGAATGTTTACTGATTTTTAGAAGTATACTGAATCTGCTTTTAAGGGGGTAGTACAATGTTAGAAAACAATGGACCACATCGAGACTACCCTCTCGTCAGCTGAATCATACCTTTTAACGTTATCCAATATTGTCATCTGGCTGCTTTGAAGTACTGCTGTGATTTATTCCTCTTCAATCTGAAAAAGATCTGAAAGACAGAGAATTGGATACATGTCATATAGAGTTTTAAATGGATTATGCCTGATTGTAGAATCTTCTGAATGTTTTCATTACTGAGGGAATAAGGTAGTGTGCCTATGGGAAAAGTTAAGTCTGTCTGTCATTTAAATCTCATTGATTTCAACAAAATTGAGACATGACTTAGTTCAGATTCAATACATTAGCTTCCACTAACTAACACGCCATGATGTTCCCGGGTGTCTGCAGATTTTCTCAGATATTTTATCTCCCAACTAGCTGAAACACACTATTAGAGTTGGGAGGAGAGAATACATTGGTGATTAGAAGAATATCTATACCATTACTATCTATTATTTAATTTCATTGTTATTATAATGTTCCTTGTATTGATTTTTAATTTCTATACCATCCCGATTTTCTGGCGTGACAGAGTTTATAAATCTTACCAATAAATAATAAGTGCACTGAATTGCTTACTTTTCTTTTTGTTGACAGCTAATTGTGACAATTTCAGTGAACAATAGAGCCTTAACCTATTGTTCTTTCATCCTGTATTCATGAATTATTGTATTTTTAAGCAAAATTGCAAATCAATGCTTCCATAAGCATAACCTAAAACTATTACTTTGGCTTTGGAGCTAGCCCAAATTGTGATCAGATGCATAAATCAGTTCTTCCAAGTGGAGTCCTGAGGACAAAACAGCATTGGCTATGCATAACAGGAGAAATATCAGCAGATTCAGGGAAGTTTGCAGAAGTTTGCAAATAGTATCAAAATGCTTAGAAACAAGATGCAAGAGAAAAAAGACACAAAATAAGCACAGATAGAATTGAAATGCTGAATTGCATGTGATGTTGTGATTTTCTGGAAACTGTTGAACTAATTTGTATAAAGTAATGTGCCTCAGAAAGAAAGCTACATTTTCTTGTTCATTTGGGTTGTATTTATTGAAACTGACCAGTGAATTCCTTGTAGCAATATAAAAGGCAATTGATCTGCATCATTTGTTCAAAAAAACAAACAAACTAGGGTGCACTTAAGTGAGGTTCAGGCAATGTTATTTTATGCTAAAAATGTTATTGTTATTTAAAGACAATAACAACATGCTTACCATTAAATAAAAAACAAAACAAAAAGTACTAAAATCTGATATAATAATAAACTCTAGGAACCCAACCATACACGTTGGAAAATATTACAAAGAAAAAGGAAGTCCTAGACAAATATTGTGAAAAGAAATTTTTTTCCATATTACTGTTGATGCTGCATGTTGATTTGATGGAGGGAAGGAAAATCAACTGAAATGGAAATTATAATGAAGTTTTGTGAAAGAGAGTGTGGTTGACTGAGAGTGAACAAAATCACACTGCAAGAGGGAACTTAATTTATAAACTCAGGAACAACATCTTCCACCACTGTTACCACATGTCTTTGATCACACATTCATGCAGATACTTATGTCTATGACTAGCCCATGGTTTTTATTTGTTTAAACTTAGAAGGCTGCCCAACTCCCAAATGACTCTGGGCATCTGTAAATTTAAAAGCAAGGCAAATAATTACAAAAAATATGCATCCAGACAAAACACATATTCATTTATTTCATTAAATGAGTGATCATAGGATTGAATGCATGTCTATTAAAAAATAACTTGGTTGAGATAAAATGTGTATAGAATTACAATGTTAGTTTCTTCGTCACACATAATTGCTCCAATGATCTCTGCATAATATTTTGCATAGATTTTACTTTTGTCCTTTTCTCTGCAAAATTGTATTTGATAATGCATTACATCACAATTGTGAATGGCCAATGTGGACTATTAAGTCATATATTACAGTAAACAAACAAATAAACAAGTCTACTACAACATAATGGCTATGCTAATATGGTGAGACATGATGGAGTTTGTTTTCATGTGTGTGTCTGAGGGTGCTTAACAGGGGTGGGATCCGACAGGGTTAATTACTGGTTCGGTGATTTACAAGGTTTGGTGATTTACGATGTGCTTCCCTGCACTCGCAAGCCTATAAATTGTCATCAGCACACTGAATGCAGAGAAGCAGCCTTTGAAAAAATACTTTTTTCCTGCTTTTTAAACTGCAGCTGTGCCTCACATGGCAGCTGAAGTTGAAAAATCAGGAAATAAAGGTCAGGTAAGAGCCCGGACAGGCGGGTGGGAAAAACATCACCGGTTCTATGTCTGCTGCTCTTCAGAGCTACCGGTTCTACAGAGGTGGACAGAACCGGTAGAAACCCACCCCTGGTACTTAATACAATGGGCAACCCAGAAATTATAGCTTAGTCCTATATATGCAAACCAGAGTATAGTGACTTTTTCATACATTAAGTGTATACATTTGTGGTTACATCTGCTTAACCAAAATCCTACACAGGTGGTCCTCAACTTACAACAGTTTCAACAGTTACAACAGTTTTTTAGTGACTGTTCGAAGTTACAAGGGCACTGAAAAAAAGTGATTTCACAGGACCATTGCAACATCCTCATGGTCATAATATAGAACAGAATAGAACAGCACAGAATAGTCACTTTGAATGTACACTAATCGGCATACATTAAAATGAAATTTTGCACACAGCTCTCAAAGGGTCACTACCTCCAATAAACACTACATTAACACGACAAATACATACATACATACATACAAAATTATGCAATACCCACATACATTATATGACACAGAAAACACAATGTAGTTCAGGTACATGGCAAAAAAACAAATCTTGCAAGTTTACCAGACGGATGGCATAGGGGTGTGATGGTGAACCTATGGCACGCATGCCAGAAGTGGCATGCAGAGCCATTTCTGCTGGCATGCAAGCTGTCACCCGGAACAGACCTGCGCATGTATGCGCGCTTCCCGCCAACCAGCTGATTGTTGGGTATATGCTGCCCATGCACAGGGGAGATGAGCGGGGAGATGCGAGCACATGCGTAGGACTGCAGGGTGCATGGGGGGTGCCGCACTCACATGCGCAGGGGCATGGGGGGGGTCAAGCACATTGCATTATGGGTATTGCATTGCATTTTTGGCATGCTAAGACAAAAAGGTTAGCTGTCACCGGCAAAGGAAACAAAGCTGTTACAGAATCTGTTAATCCTGCTAGAAATGTTTCAAACCCTCATCCAGAGGGGAGCAATAGAAACAGACTGGAAAGTGTGTGTGTGTGTGTGTGTGGTCTCTAACAATGTTTCGATCTCTAAGCACATAGTGCTTATAAGCAATACCCTGAATAAGGGGAAGTGAACTTCCTATAATCTTCTCAGCTGTCCTTACCACTCTCTGTATGGATTTTCTATCTGAGGCACTGCTGCCACTAAACCAAACAGTTATGTAGTTAAATGTAGTTTACATTCTGATGCTTGATGCTTAACAAAACTGGTTCATATTTATGACAGTTGCAGTGGTTCCCAGGGTCATGAAATCACCTTTTATGACCTTCTGACAAGCAAAGTCAATGGGAAAGCCAGATTCACTTAACAACGGTGCTACTAATTTAACAACTGCAGTGATTCACTTAACAAAATGTGGCAAGTAAAGTTATAAAATGGGGCAAAACTCACTTAACAAATTTCTCACTTAGCCACATAAATTTGGTCATAATTTGAGGGCTACCTTTATACAATGCTACAGAGTTAAAGATATTTCAGAAATATAACAAGACTTTAACACTTGCCTTTTAAAGAAGTAGCTTAAGGTTTGCACAACACCTGGTTTAGAAGTTACACATGACTTGGCACTATTAGTTTTGTGGCCCAGAGTTTCTTCCTTCCTTTTTTTTCTTTTTGAATTTGGGGTAAGTTAAATTAGCATCCATTTCATCCCTTAAAATCCCCAAAACGTTTTGCCTCCCCATGTTGCTCAAAACCAGGATTGCTGTCAAGCAGCAAAAAAAAATCTGCCTCTCTGGCATTTACCAAGGAATCCATTTTTAGACATGGGACAAGGTCTCACTGCTCGCCTACTGACATTATATATTCAAGCTTCCCAGCAAAGGTGGCCCAACAAAGACTTAGTATCTGTCAGGATGAGAAAGTTGCAATTAGAAGTTGCTGAGCTGTAAATGCTAAGACTTGCAGAAGGACAAACTCAGAACAGTGAATGGATGGGTGGATGGGCAGCTGGGACTGTTTCGTGTGAATTCGGCTATTCCAGTACTTATTCTCAAGGCGAAGATCCTCGAAGCAGGATTTGCTTACGGAGTTCTTGTTGCATACAAGTTAGAGATCGTCTTCTGGGGGCTAAAGGGGGAACTGAGGGCGGCAGAAAGTTAGAAGAGGTTCGAAACTGAGTTGCATAACGAGCGGCACCGGCACAGCATCCAAACTGCTCCTTCGCCTTAGGGTTGCAAGAACTTTCTATCGCTATACGACCAAGAAAATCAAAACCGCGCATAGATAATAACGATTCCGAAACAACACTGGGAAGTGTGATCGGGCAGCCAACGGAACCCCTCGGCCGCGGTTTAAAAGCCCCCGGCTACACAAACCGGACGAGGATCTCTCTCTCTCTCTCTCTCTCTGGGAGCAGATCAGCACTTGTCCCCGGGAACGCAGCCCTAATCAATCGACAGAAGAGCAACGGATCGCCTTCCAGGCCAAGGAGTTGCGACGGGTAGGGCAGGCGGTGTATTGCGCTTGCGTAGAGTGGCCTGGCTCTCGCTCGCTCTCGCTCTCTCGCTCTCTCTCTCTTTTCCAGCCCCCGCCCCACCGGCTTCGCATCTTCTGCGCGGGCTCCCCCTGCCGGCGGAGGCAATTAGCGGGGTCGGCGCGTTCCATGGCCGGCGGCGGGGGATCATGACCGACTACGGGGAGGAACAGCGCAATGAGTTGGAGGCCTTGGAGGCCATCTATCCGGACTCCTTCACAGGTAGGGCAGCAAGTGGAAGCCGGCGCTGGGCGGCGCGTGGGTTCGCGGGATGACGATGGCAGCGGCGGCTTGCAAGTTTCCAGCATGCGGTGAGGATTCTTTTGCCTCGCTTCTTCCTGTTACAAAGACTTTTCCCCCCTTTCTTTCTGGACTAATCCGTCCAGAACTCGATCCAAGCAACCACTGGCCGCGTCGCAAACCTGGTGTGCTGTGAGAAGCCCGAGCGGGTTTCACTGGATCGTGTGACTCCAGAAAATCGGATAAAGAATCCAGCTATTTGAAGCTCACTTTGGGTTTCCAGCTTTCCAAAGGATACGCGAGGCGGGCTCTGGTTCTCCTTTGGTACTGCAAGGAGAGGTTTTCTTTTTGTCTAATCTCACTTCTTTCTTCGGCAATTTATTGGGGAGCGGGGGTTTGCAAGAATAGGTTTAAGCTTCTCCGATGACTTGGCTTAGAGGAGCCTGCAACTCCTGTCCTCGGAAGTAGCCGCCTTAAAAAGTCATTCCTGCTTAGGTCCCGATGCCGTCATTCATTCATACTTGATTTGCTACACGCTTTGAATGTAAAAGCTGTTTATTAAAACATTTGTGATATAACCATCCTTTGGAATGTTAAAAAAAGAGTTTGGAATGAAGTTTACAGGAAAGGCATAGCCCAAAGTGCTTTAAAACCCGTAGAATGTAAGTTATCAGGTAGTGTTTTCTACCCAAGTCATGGTGGCTATGTAAGTGGTTAAGGCACTGGCCAAACTTTGATCCACTCAGCCACAGAAACTCCCTGGATGATTTTGAACCAGTTTCTTTTTTTCTCAGTCCAGCCTAATGTCCCAGGATGGTGTTGTGGGGTCTCTATGGGCCACCTTGAATTCCTAAAGGAAAAGCAGTAGTGTATGTAAGATTCCTATCCTTTCACTCATCAGAAGCCTTCACCATTTTAATGGTCCTCCAATATTACTCCAATGTTACTCCAATTTGCCACTGTCCATTTTGAATGGTGGTATCCAGGACTGGATGCAACACTCTAAATTATTTTTGAGCAGAGTAAAATAGAGAGGAAGAGTAATTTCTTATTTGAACTCTGTGCTTAATGAATCCTGAGGTGGCATTTGCTGTTTTAGCAGCTGCATCACCCCGATGGCTTTTGTTGAACTTGTGGTTGACAAGAATCTCCACATTCTTTTCATATGCACCAAATCAGCTGTCTTCAATCTTAGGCTTGTGTTATATATATATTTTTTTCCTATCCAGACATAGCACTGTATATTTTATACCTTGTTTCTTTCTATCCTGTTCATTTCAGCCCATTATCTGGCTAGACCTTTAAAAAATCTTTTTCTCTTCTAAAATATAAGCTACCCCCCCTCCAGCGCTATGTCATCTGCAGATTTGATGAAGTGTCTCTTCAACTCCCTCATTCAATTAATTGATAAATATGAAGAACAGCACAGGACCCAGGACAGAATCCTATGGCACTCCCATTTGACACTCCCCTCTAAGCTAAAATGGCACCCTTAATGCTTTATGGTGTCATTTAACCAATTCTGATCCCATCTAACAGTATTATCTAGCTCATATTTTCTCATTTTATTTGGAACGTATTGGGAGAGACATTGGCAGAGGTTTTGCTTAGCTCCAGGTGCATTATGACTACAGGTAGTTCTCATCTTACAACCATTCGTTCAGCAACAATTTGAAGTTCCAGTAGCACTGAAAACAAAGTGACTTACAACCTGTCCTCGCATGTACAATCATCACCACATCCCCATGGCCACATGATCAACATTTGATTCCTTAACACCCAGCATATATTTATAATGGTTGCAACATCCCCGAGTCATGTAATTGCCATTTGCAACTTTCCCAGGGAACTTCCGACAAGCAAAGTCAATGCGCGAAGTTCAGTATGTTTTATTTATTTATTTTAGAAAATTTATATTGCCGCCTGCTTGCACCTGGTGACTCAAGGCGGCTTACATGGATATAAACATTTTGCTTAACAACTGCAATGATTTGCTTAACAATTGTGGCAAAAAAAGGTTGTAAAGTCAGGTGCCTCTCACTTAGCCATACCTTGCTTAGCGGTGGAGATTCTGGTTCCAATTGTCATTGATTAAGTTGATGTCTACCTGTATTGGATTTGCCTTATCTACTAAGTTAGTAATAGTAACTCTGTCAAAGAAGGAAATAAGTTTGGCATGAACTCTGCCATAAACCCCTGGTTGTTCTTGCTGATTGTAGAATGCCAATCCAATATTTATAAAAACACTGTTTAATCATCTGTTTACAGTATAGATGTGACGTTGACAGGTCCATACGTTTTGTATCCTTCTCATCCACTTAATATTGGAACAATATTTGCTCTCCTCCAATCTTCTGAGACCACACCTTCCTCTGAGAGTTTTCAAACATGACTAAAGAACAACCCTAGATATAATGGATTCATCTATTTCATGCTCTGTGTTCCAATAGCTTCCTGCTTGACCAAACTAATTAAAAGGAGTTCTGTGGTGCGATCATGACACAAAACAAATCCAGCAGACTCTGGATTCAGAATTCAGCCTCTGTGGAGAATGAATCTAATATCCATTTTTCTCTATGGCTTACCGATCCAGTGGCATCAAACTATACACATGCCCTCCCATCTAGAGGGTCCGGGGTTCTTCATAATCCAATGTGGATTTCTCAGACTCTTAGTTCATTCAGTGAGTGCTAATAGCTCAGTGGTTTTTTTGCTTCTAAAGCATTTGGTCTAGCACTTTATTCCTCAGAGGGTACAGACTGTATAGATTTGACTTCAGGCTGCACTGATTGAAGGCATAAATTATCTTTTTTAAAAAATCATGTAAAAACAATCAGATTTACATATTAAATTGTTTTAAAGTGAAAAACAGAATTTCAGCAGTTTTTTTAACTGTTAGGATTAAACAATTTTACATGCCAAATTTGCAGCAGTATTGTTTAAAAAAAGCCATATGAAAAATAATTTTTCTTGTCGGTTCTTTTCTTCCACAGTGTTATCAGAAAACCCTACAAGTTTCACTATCACTGTGACATCTGAAGCGGGAGAAAATGATGAAAGTAAGTTGAATGCTTCTCAATGTTTATGTGGGAGGAGAAAAAAATCTCTCAGAGATAACAGTTTTGTACAAATAATTGAAAGTAAGAGCAGATTATTTCAGTATGGAGTAGTAACTGGCTTGGAAATCTGCAATGCTAATATTGGAGTATGTCCGCAGAAAATCCAAGTTTAAATCCTTATTTGGAAATAAGCCACAGGATTGCTTTGGGCAAGTTGCTGCCCTGAAGAGGTTTCATTGGAGTTTTCCAATAAAGTGAAGGTGATGGTTTGACCAGGTTCCATGTTGCCTTCACCCTTTAGTCAATTGATCAAGGAACCTGAGATTCATGGTACAAGACAAGAAAAATGTTACTTGAATATAGTGAAGATAATTTCATTGTATTTTCAAATCCCAGATTATAAAGTTCAAAGCATACTTATAAGTAGAAAACAAACCACTTGTTTGAATGTAAATGAGTTGTTTATAAATTGAAGCGTATGCATATATTTGGATACCAAAGGATATGTTAGATCTTGTCCTTCTAGCATAGAAAGAAAAATGGCCTCCAAAGGAGAGATCCAGTGTGAAACTCCTCTAATAGGTGGCACCAGGAAATCAGAGTTGGGGAAAGAGGAGGCATTCCTAGGAGTAGATTGAGAATTTCTTCCTCTTCTGTTTTATCACACATTTCTATGAATGTTAAAAGTTCAATAAATTAATTTTAAAAACCTTGAAAGGTGATTTAAAAAAGAAGTTAGAAACTGCTACTTCCTCTCATCTGCTGTCTGGCAGCAGAAATCCAACAGTGTTTTGAATGAAATGGATTGTTTTTCTTCTGATCTTCTCACAAGCAATAATGATATTCCTAACTAAAAGGTTAATATTAATAATTTCAGTTGGGCTGCTTTTTTTCTGTTCCACTACAGCTGTTCAGACGACTCTCAAATTCACCTATTCAGAAAAGTATCCAGATGAAGTTCCATTATATGAATTGCTTGCACATGAAAATCTTGAAAATAATGACATTGCAGACTTATTAAAACTATTGCAGGAACAGGTAAGAAATATTCAGAGCAAATTGTTTTTTCTTGATATCAGTAGTTCTTTAGCTTTTATTCAGTGAGTAAAAATACATGTGGCTTGAAAACCACAAGGTTATGACAAAACTATCAGGATTAGATTTTTCAAGTTAAAGATTAATAGGCATTGCAGCTAACACAAATGAATGTAAGTACTTCATAATTTATTTTATAAAACTTGAACTCACTGGGTATTAGGTGGGAGAGAAGTTAGAATACCTTCTTATAGAAGATATAAGTGTTTATGTAATTTTGTAATAGCTACCAATTGTTGATGTTCATAAACTTTGAAGTGCATTCGTAGGGCTGAAAAAAAAATTCAGTGGCAATCCACCACATTTTTAAAAATTCCTTTTGCAAAATTTTTTGCTGCTATGAAAAGCATATGAATTAAAACTGAAAAGTTTTGTTGGTGATATGGTTTGTTATATATTTCTCCCTACTTTGTATTGTGTTTTAAAGCCATTCTTACCACACTTCCTACATTTTTGTGTAACAGAAATTATGATTTTAACTCCAAGTTCTTTGCAAGTAAAGTTATTTTCTTTTTGTATTTCAGGCAGAAGAGAATCTAGGCATGGTAATGATCTTCACATTGGTATCAGCTGTGCAAGAAAGACTGAATGAAATAGTAGATTTAATAAAAACAAGAAGAGAAGCAGAAAAAAAACAGAAGGAGAAAGAAGCAGAGGAGGCAGAAAAGGTGATAAAATTCATCAACACATTGGTTATAAGAAAGAAAAAGTAGCATTTGCAGTGTCTGAGTCTGTAACCTGATTTTTTTTACAGTGTTTCTAATCTGATACGGGTCACTGAAGAACAAGGGTGATATTGATGGATGGATAGAGATAGATAGATAAATGGATGGATAGGCCCACTCATCCAAAATCATGCAAGATTATACAATATAAACCCATGGATTGTGTTTCTTGTTCCATTCTAAGAATCCAGTAACTTAATTGGTCTTTTTATGAACCAATATTCTGTTTAATGGAAGTATATATTTACATACATGTATGGGTGTGTGTACTGTGTGTGTACTGTGTGTTTGAACACACACACACACACACACACAGACTTGATGGTCTCTTTACAGAAAGCAGGTGGGAAACATGAAGTAATTCAGTATGACTATAAATGTTGACATCGATAAACTAAATCACCTGAACTCAAGTTGGGTAACATTATGGTGGTTAGAGAAATGTTGGGATGTTGTTTTAGCCTGACCTATAATTAGGTAGGTCCAGTTTTAGGATACTTGCCAGCTATATAAATTTAGTATTTGCTAAAGTGTAGTGATTTAAGGTAGTACGCTACGATCCTGGATACCATACATTCTAGTCCTGCCTTAAGCATGAAGTCATCTGGGTGACCTTAGCCAGTCACTTTCTGTCAATCCTAAGAGGAAACCAATGGAAAACCACTCCCTGAAAATCTTGCCAAAAAAACCCTGCAAACAATATGTCAGAGTGTTTGCAGTGTGACTGCTATTGTGAAATAACCAAGGAGCAAAACACAGCACACAGAGGCTTAGACATTAGCTGTGGTTTATATACAAGACATATACAGAAATATACATGGTAGGCAAATACCTGACAAGCAATCAATCTTCTTAACTCTATACAGAAAACTCTGCAATGAAGAGAGAGGAGAGAGAAATACGCACTCTAATGGCTGCCTTATATAAACACCTCTTAAAGTGGTAAAACTTCTGTGGATCCATACATAGAGTTAAAACAATATCTTTGCTGATTCATCCTTCTTGAATCAGTCTTACATTTCATCAGCCTTACATTGATTGCATCATTGCAGCAGCTGGTCAGCTCTTAAATCTCAATACCTTAACACAATACCCAGCAGTCAAAATGAATTCCAAGGTGTACATGCACACATATATATGTAAATGAAAGGCCACAATCAATTAGTTGCCCTTAGCAGAGGACAGGGAGTATTTGTTATTCTGTTGGTTTATGGTTGCTGAATGACAGTCTTTTTAAATGGCTTATTAATATAGTGTGACAAATAAGGCTAATACAATCCCATGATCTGTATGTGAAATCTTGGTTAGATAGGTAAACTACTTACAAAACCACCAAAATGTTTATATGTGTATCTAATGACTATGAATATATTTTCATAGGATTACGTAATTACATACAGATTATTCTCAATTTAGGACTGTTATTTAGCCTAGAATTATGGTTGTAAGGTGTGCCGATTGTTAAGTGGACCATCATGTGACTGAGTTGATTTTACAACTTTTTTTTGCAGCTGTTGCAAATAACCAGGGTTGATAAGCAAATCCCTGGTTGTTAAATGAACATCACACTCGTTAAATAAACCTATTGTTTGCAATGAGCATTTTTTGCCAAAAATGGAAAGTAAACACCAGTTTCCAAGCAACCCCCCCCTTCATTGTAAATCGCTATTATCTGACAACTGCAAATGGCCATAAATGTTGCTGAACGCCCAAAATATGGTCACATGACTCTAGAGTGCATATACAGTTACATTTGGCTGTGGATTTTCTTTAGTTGTGTTTGTTTGCTCCTTTGTTGTGCTATTTATTTATTTTATTTTTATTTATATAGCCATGATGGTAGTGATGATTACAACAACAACAATGGCTTTAAATCTGTGTATGCCACTTCTCACTTCCCAATGAAGAATCTCACAGTAATTGTTGTCAGTACTGTCCACAGAACTGTTTCAGGACAGTTCCGGCTGGGATTGTAGTTGCTTCTGTTTCCTAGCTGTTTATGTGAAAGTAGCTTTCCTTTGTTATGTTTTTTGGAACTTTATCTTATTCTTCTCCATTTGCGTAGCAATGCTTTCATGGCACCCCTGTCACTATTGAAAACTTTCTACGCTGGAAGGCAACATTTGATTTGGAACTTTTAGAAATTAAGAGAAAAAAAATGAAAGAAGAAGAACAGTGCGGCAAAAATAAATTAACAGGTGGGATATAATTGTCTTATATAAGCCATGTGCCTGGTCTTGGATTGCTGGAGGATTTTTTTTTTTTTTCATTTGATATATGAAATCCACACAAGCCATATCAAATTGGTTAGTCAGGAAACACAGAGCGGTGAAAAATATCAGTGTTCAAGAAAGCTGTCCAAATTATCCACAGAAATACAGAAGTTAAAAGTTGACACTGATAAATGTTTGAATAGATATTTTTACTGTACATGTGAAGAAATACAATGGTACCTCAGTACGCATGGTTAATTGATTCTGGGAGCATAATGAGTTATGAAAAGTGATGAGTCCCAAACAATTTTTTCCTGTAAGGAATAATGTAGTGAGTCACAATGTAGCTGACCGATAAGTTCTATCTTGTACATTGAGTATCAAACAAATGAGGATGGAGACAAAATTTTAATGTCAAAATGTGTTTACCAAATTCTTTGAGTTTCAGAGTAGTTGAGTATCAAAGTACCACAATATACAAAACTCCATACTTGAGTTGTACATGTTGCTAATACCATATACCCTAGATCTATAAGAGATAAAGGTTATCAAACTCAGTAGGGGTCTTCTGTAGGTGCAATTCTTCCAAATTATAACTTTCAAGTAAGCTTGGATTTTTGTCTTAGTTAACCATTGTATTAAACACAGAAAACCTAATTTTCTCTCATATAGTATACAGTAAAATATATTAGGGGTAAGGAAGTGGAGAAAGCCTATGCACATAACCGTTTTATTTGCATGTACACATCTAGACCAGACCCAAATTGTATCTAAGGGTCAGCCCCTAGGTGTAATGTATTACGTTTGTTTTAAGATAATTCAATTTAATGGCACCCCATATTATCTGATAGTGGAAATTATCTGGTCATCACTCTTCAGATTTCAAAGTCAAAAGTATTTTAGTTCCTGATTTTTGAACTGCATTTTCATTCTTCTGCGCCATCATAGCTTTATTTCCAGAGTTGCAATCTGAAGTGTGTGTGTGTGTGTGTGTGTGTATTCGTTATACCACTATCCAAATCAATTTACTTCTTTTATTCCTTAATAGGAAAGCAGCTGTTTGAAACAGATCATAATCTTGATACGTCTGATATTCAGTTCTTAGAAGATGGTAACCTTCTATTATTTTTACTTTAATTATTATAATAGTAGCTAACCTTTTTGGGCTCCCATGCCGAATGCACGTGCCCCCCCCCCCCAGTGCGGTGCGCGTCTCTACACATGCACGCGAGCCCCCCCATGCATGCACGCACATCTCCCCCCGCTCCCTGCATGCATGCCAGATACCTGACAATCAGCTGGTGAGCAAGCGGCGCGCATGCATGTGCAGTGGGGCTCTTCCGGGCGACCTCTTGTGTTCCAGCAGAAATGGCTCTGCATGCCACTTCCAGTACGCATGCCATAGGCTTGCCCTCACGGCTATAGGATATAATTTTAATGGTAAAAGCTATTTACTATTAAATATACTGGCATTTACCACTAACTGTACTGGTATTTTCATATCAATTGGCTAAATTTTGCCTCCAATGCTACAGTAATAAAGTGGAATAAGCTACTTATATGCTTTTGGAAACAGACAGTTACTTCTGGTTCAGGGTAATGTGAAATCTGAGAGATATCCCTTTAACCAAAATATATTCTTACATCTGTATCTGCCCTTTTGTGATAATGAGCCTCTAGCACAGGGGTGTCAAACTCACATCACAGTGGCGTCACGTGACATATTGAGACCTTTCCCCCTTTGCTAAACCGCGAGTGGGGGTGGCTAGCACTGATATATCTGACCCACAGGTTGGGACTTTTAACAGCCTTGCCAGAAAAGAAAAAGCTAACTGAGCAAGCATGTCTGCTTATGTGGATGTAATATGCTAAGTTTTAGCTGAAATCAAATAACATTGGATCTGGCTTAAACTTAGAATATGTCTGAAAAACTCCAATTTTAATACCTGAAATATCTTTACTTAAAATTAATTGTGTCCAGACAACACGCTGTTCAGATAGACATGGAATTGTTTTATGTTCTTTAAAAGGAAAATGTACCAATAAAACATATATTCAAAAAAAGCTCCCAAACACCTGAAATATTCCCGATCCTTTATAGGATTCCATTTTGCTGATATCACATACAATTTTTATTTTTTTTAAAAATGTTTTGCTTCAACCATGAAGGCAAATAACTTACAAAAATCTGCCCAAGAAAACTGCAGGAACTAGTTCAAGCAGTTGCCAGGAGTTAAGACTGACTCAAAGGCATACACACACAAACACCTTTGGCATTATGCCAATATCGCCTACATGCCTAGCTGTAGATATTTTTCTTCCAACATAGCCTTTAAGCTTGATAATATAAGGGACAAAATTAACTCAGCAGATATCATAGGAGACAGAAGGTGTCACTATTGCTCCACTGTTATCTTTTTCTTCATTGTACAGAGATGTATATCATTGATTCTGCATGGTTAACTCAAATTCAAACTATACCCTGGAAATATATCCACTCCTTTACCCCAAATGCTTTTTTTTAGCTGCAGGCGACTTCTCAGAGGATCCCTAGCATAAGCAGTTGGAAAAGCAATTTGAGGAAAGCAGTGGAATTTTTCTCTTCCTCTGCTGCTTTAACTATTTTTGGCTTGCAGAAAATTATACTCCTTTTAAAAAAAGAAAAGTAACAACTTTTAATTTTTATGTTACTAATTCAAAATGATGAAATGGCAAGTATCAAGATATTTCCTGAACTTCAGAGCCATGCTATATGATCCCTGTATAGCAGGGATGTCAAACTTGATTTCATTAAGAGCTGCATCAGAGTTGTGTTTGACCTCCGGAGGCCACAGGGCTGTGGCTATGAAGGGCCTGGCCGGAGGGTTTGGCCAACTCAGCGTCACTCAAGCTCCGTTTTTGGCTGGCAGCACTCTGCCAGCGAAAATGGAACTCAGGGAGGCCATATGTGACCCTCCCAGGCTCTGCTTTTGTTCCAAGGGCTCCTGAACCCCTCTGCCAGTGAAAATGGAACTCAGGGAGGCCGTTGCGGCCAAACACAGACCCTGGGAGGACCTCTCATGGCCCTCCCAAGCTCTGTTTTCACTGTCAGAGGCATGGCAGTCAGTCCTTTGCTGTTTCCAGGGCGGCCCTGTGGGCCAGATGTAAACCCCCCATGGGCCAGATCTGGATCCCGATCCTTGAGTTTGACACCCTTGCTGTATATGCCTTCTAAATTTATTACATGTCACATGAAAGAACACAATGTAAGCTCAACCCATTTGCTTGAGTTGATTATGTAGGTACAGACCGCCCACTGTGCAGTTTCTGTCTTCTTTGGAAATTATGGGTCCTTTGCATGCTGGGTCAGGTTTTTTTAACTGAGACTGCTAAATGGTCATTACAAGCATCACTTTTGTCTCTATAAAATGTCAACTTTATTTTCCTTTTCTCTCCCCCCCCCCCCCCCCAAGCTGGAAACAATGTGGAAGTAGATGAATCGTTGTTCCAGGAAATGGATGACTTGGAGTTGGAAGATGATGAGGACGATCCAGACTATAACCCTGTTCATCTAGATAGTGACTAGATCTGAAATTCCTCTATTAGCTATTTTGATCCGTAGGTCTGGTTGGACACTTATAGCCCGAAAGATGCACATGTGATTTGGATATCTTTTTCTTCAAAGAGAAGGACGAAGTATTTTAAGATCAAGTGACTTCTTTTCTGGTGGCTTTCATCCCTGGTAATAAACAGACTTTAACATTTGAGATTTGTGTCTCTTGTGTATTCCTGCAGAAAATGGCCTTTCTGGAAAAGCAGAAAATGCTCTCCTGAAATTAACTGCATTGTTGTACTAAAGGTTTGGATAAAGATAGTTGTTTTGAAGGTGATGCTTCCCCCCCCTCCCCCCTTCAATTATAAAACACAGTAGTTGATTATAGGAGGAGACTTCTGAAGAGAAATTGGCTTTCTTTTGTTTTGTTTGGAGCACAGGCCCCGCACACCCCACAGGCCACCAGGTTGAAGATAAGCGCCCTGCCTGTACCAGTGTTTCCGGCCTTTCAGGTGTGGGTGGGTGGGTGTGCGCATGCGCGGGGGAGGTGTCCAGCAGCAGGGGTTCTGTAGCTGGCCCTCCAAAAAGCAGGTGTGGCCGTGACACCAGCAGCAGGCAGAGACAGGTGGAGGCACGTGATGCGGACCAGAAACACCTGCTCGATCCCATGTGGCTGGGACTGGGTAGACGGTTGCCTGGCTCATCCAGTATGCCAATCTGCATGCCTCTCCCCTATGCCTCTGCCTCTGGCTACTGCCGCCACCACAGGCCAAGACAAGGTGAGGCAGGGGGTGAGGCAGGGGGTGAGGCAGCTGCTCCCAGACACCATTGGCCCGCCTACCCCATCCCTTCCCATCTGTTTTTGCTTCTGGTTGGAGAGCAGATTGTTGCTCGTCATCTTGGCTCTTGCCCTTGGCCTGTGCAACCAACGCAGCTCGGCACTGCTGTGGATTGCTGCCATCTACACCAGGCCCACCCAGCATGAAGTGGTAGAGCATGCCCAGGCCCAGCAGGGAAAAGGCCACCGTGAGCAGGAAAAGCTAGATCCCTATCAGTGCCAGCCACCTAGGCCCAGCCAGGAGCTTGTGCCTCCCCCACAACTTTGATGGGCCTGGGCAGCCATGGCATTGATGGGGATCTGGCTTTCCCTGCTCGCGGTGGCCTTTTGCCTGCAGGGCCTGAATGTGCTCCACCACCTTTCTAGCTGGCTGCTTTGCCTCCTTTGGGCTGGGCAGGTTAGTTGAGTGGTGGCGGCAGCCTACAATGGGGCTGACGTGCATCGTCAGCTGAGGGGCTGGCAGGCTATGGCTACAGCAGGAAAACATCCCCCTCCCCTGCATACAAAGGGCGGTGAGAGCACGCTGGCTGATGGTATTCAACTGTAGCTTTGCCACCCTCATCCTGCGGATCTGAAGACATGATTTTGTCAGTGAGCCTAGGGACTCCCTAACTGAGAAGGAGCCAATCACAGGGTAACTGTGGTCTCTCTTGCTGGGGTGGGTGGAAGAAGTTTTTTTACACTGTTTTAATGTTGGAAGCCATCTGGAGGCAACATATATGAACTTTTAAAAATGATAAATAATATATAATCTAATGAGACCTAGGTTATATGCCTTTTTTGTTTCAATCTCTTCCCCACCTCATCCACGGGGTACCAAGATTAGTAGTACCTTGAGTATGTTAGCCTTCCAAAAAAAAAAAATCTTTCCCTCCAGGAGTTGGGCTAAGATGATATAGCAAGCAATATAAACCTTCAGGGAGGCAGAAAATATAAGTGCTATGTTGTCTTTGTAAGGCTCTATTTCATTTATAACACCCAGGGTCAGGCAGCTATGGAAATCTAACTCAATAAATGTCGTACAATATTTAATTACATGCCGTACAATATTTAATTACACAGAATTTAATGTTGATCTGTTCTATGATCTCTGTAGAGTTGAGAATTAGACTTTACAATGTGATATGACTCTTGAAAGGACATTTCTGATTCAAACCATTTGAAGGTGTGTATCACACATTGTTTTCCTCCGCTGAGCTGGAAATAGGCTGAGGATCCTCCTGAATATCCCAGCAGAATTTTAAGGGCAGCTTTTCCATCCTCTCCTTAAAGACACGGTCAAACCTTTCATTCTGGGCAACAGTCATGAAGTTCTTCCAGTCCCCAATAGTGCCTGGGAAACAATGGTTAAAAATATGTGAACCTTTTTTGTATTCACTTAAACTAGAGGCTCTTTATGTCATCCTGTCACCAAAATGTTCATTCCTACACATTTTTCTGTGACTAGCTTTGTGTGTTTATACAGTCATGTAAATAGGAAGAATACCCTGTTTGAGTTCTTCAGTTTTATGTATGAGAACATAGTAAAAATCTAGTCTTAGCAGTTCTTAAAAGTATGTAAATACAACCTCAAATGAACAACATGACATTACACCATGTCATGATTTATTTTATAAAAAGAACGCCAAAATGGAGGAGCTGTGTGTGTAAAACTTACAATTCAATAGTTTTGAAAGAATTTTGATTCCATTTTGGAAGAATTTTGGCCCACTGTTCTTCACAACATTGTTTCCGTTAATTGAAATTTGTGAGCATTTGTTTATGTACAGTTCACTTGAGGTCCCACCACAGCGTTTCAATCGGGTTGAGGTGTGGACTTTGGGCCATTGCAACACCTTGGTTTTTTTCCCTTTTCAGCGATTCTGTTGTAGTTCTGCTGGTGTGCTTGGGGTCATTGTCCTGTTGCATGACCCAATGTTGCTCAATCCTTAACTGTCCAACAGGTGGCTTCACATGTAATTCTACAATACTTTGGTATACAGAGGAGTTAATGGTCAACTCAGTGACTGCAAGGTGTCCAGATCCTGTGACTGCAAAGCAAGTCCAAATCATCCCCCCCCTCCACCACCATGCTTAATGGTTGGTATGAGATGTTTGTGCTGATATCCAGTATTTGATGTTCATCAAACATGGCACTGTGTATTGTGGCCAAACATCTCCAACATCTGTCCAAAGGACAGTGATTCCAAAAGTCTTTTGTTTTGTTCAGATACAACTTTAGAAACCAAAGCTGTGCTGCAATGCTCTTTTTAGAGAGAAGAGACTTTCTCCTGGCAACTTTTTCCAAACAAACCATACTTGTTCAGTCTTTTTCCAACTGTAGTGTCATAAACTTTGACATTTAACATGCTAACTGAGGTCTGTAGGGTGTGAGATGTAACTCTGGGATTTTTTTTGCAATTTCTCTGAGGATTGCATGTCTGACCTTGGGGTGAATTTGCTGGAATGTCCACTCAGGAAGATTGGCAACTGACTTGAAAGTTTTCCACTTGTGAAT